GTTTCAAACTGCCGACTGTGAGGTTGGCAGCCTGACTCGTAACCACTATGCTACCTGAGTAGGATTCTAACACACACACACACAGTGTTTGTTTTTAATGACCTTCTATTTGTAGTGGCCTCCATGGTTACCTGACCACCTGCCGGCAACACCTCTGGATGGTTTCTCTTGCAGGTGAAAGCTGTGCACCACTTGCAAGATCCCTGAGAAAGGAGACCATCCCTGTGATGGGGTGTGGATGTGGCCAGAAGGGGAACACATCAGGCAATGGGAAGATTAATCCAGAGCCACTGTCCTCAGTGAAGTATGCAGAAGGATAGAAGCTTCAAGTCTTCAGAGCACAGTCAACCTCAAGGAGAGTTCCAGAATCTGCCATTCTCATCAGGATCAGCCTTGCCCATACCCCAGTAGGCAGTAGGGACTTACAGTAGCACAAACCTCCTTTTTACTGCCCCTTGCACCCAGAGCAGTGGGCAACGGATGATATTCATGGTAAAGACTATCAAACGAAAGGTTTGTTATAGAAACTAATTTAGATCTTTGATTGTAGTGTGAATAAAGAGCTTCACCTCAGCATGCTAGAAGTTTCTGCTGGGCTTTTTCAGGTTCTGCTGACTAACTTCTGCTGTTGTCCAGCTGGACTTGGCTGTCTGTGAAGCCCCAGCCCAGTCTTCCGGCTGGTCGGTTCCCATCAGTCATGTCTTATGACATAGTACTACCGAAAGTTCCTGTCACAGACACACCACAAGTGAGGGACTTCAAAGAGGAGAAACTCACTTCTAGGAGGCTGTTGTTGTTGTTAAGTGCCGTTGAGTCGGTGCCAACCCCTAGCGACCCTGTATAAGTTTACCAAGGAGAGGCTGGTGAGTTTGAACCTCTGACCTTGAGGTTCAAATCGACCCTAAGATCAAGTGCTTATCATATGATGCCAATGGAAACTGCCGTTAGGAGTTTATCATCCCAGATGGAAGACATGTTGAGAAACTAGTTTCACTTGTTGAGTTTTTTTTGTTTAATCAAGGTGTCTCCGGTTCTGTAGCAATACCTTTTGACTTACACACATAAATGTTTTTTTAAGAACAGGTAGAGAACTTGCCCCTAGTGCCCACAGTAATTACATGAATGATGGTCTTAAAACTAATTTCCCACAACCAACAGGTATTGCTTTCCTAACCAGAAAAAATATTGCTTTTAAATCCTTATTTGAATCAACTGTAAAATATTTTGTTATTTTTTGCAAACATCTCTTGGAAAGAAAGAATGAAAGAAAGAAACCATGCCTCAAAAGAAGGCATCTGGAATTCTCATCAAGGGGCTGGAGAAAAGCTCTCTATAGAGTTTGGGTGTCTTTCTTGAAACCCTGGAAGTGATCCCACAGTACCACAAAGAACACCAGGAAATGCAATAGTTGCTAGACCCTTTACCTGTTAATCAGAGATGAGGGATAATAAGGACATGTCTGCTTGACCACCACCACCACCCCCCAGCCCCCACCAAACCTGCAGTCGTTGTAAATGGCTTCTATGTATGCAAGGTGACTGAGGTCTTTGCCCGTGAAATTAAGGGGGTTTTATGATTGAACTGATTCGTTGTAACTGGTCCCATCCAGTCCTCATCCTTAGGATGGTATTGTGTGTTGATATTTAAGTCAGTCACCCATCCATTTTGCATCTGACTTTGATGTATGATTTTTGCTTTAAAACAACAATCTAATGATGAATCCAGGTCATTAAAAAAAGAGTTTTTGTTGTGAATTCAGTGATAGATGACATGGAAGAACATCAGATTTACACTCATCCTATCATATTTCATTTCATCTGACTACAATCTCCTCCATGCATCATCATTCAACAGCATTTGCTTCTATCCCGTTTTTTTTTTTTTTTTTTTGATGTACACTGAAGCAATCATATATAATCATAT